GGGGCCCGGGGGGATGGGATGCCAGGCCGAGGCAGGGGGCCCGGGGGATGGGATGCCAGGCCGAGGCAGGGGGCCCGGGGGGGTGGGATGCCAGGCCGAGGCAGGGGGCCCGGGGGATGGGATGCCAGGCCGAGGCAGGGGGCCCGGGGGGATGGGATGCCAGGCCGAGGCAGGGGACCCGGGGGATGGGATGCCAGGCCGAGGCAGGGCACCCGGCCCCCCAGCTGGTGCCTCATATGCAGGCTGTGGCAGCACTGAGCTCTTGCTAGGTTAATTAAATCGTAAAACACACTGAACGGAGCTGAATGAGGCCTAGAGACATGCAATGTGAATGTGGGTGGGATGGAGGAGAAACAGTGCCCCCCCCCCATCTCTCTGTGACTCAGGAGGGGCTGTGCCAACAATGAGGACATCAGAGTTAAGTAACTGCTCAGACGCGCCAAGTCCTCCCTGTGTAACAAGCCGTTGACCTCAATATGCATCGAGACAGCCGGAGGTGTCCCCCCCCCGGACTAAAAAGAAACACCTCTGATGATCCCATCACACGCAAAGGGAATAGAACAGCACGAGAGTCCAAATGTATATCTAACACCCACACACACACACACACACACGTCCAGGGGTGACACACCATGATACACACGGTGACACATAACACTGTGTGCAGCAACCTGCACACACTTCGAGGTACCAGGGATGTAACCTCGGTCAGATGAAAAGGAAAAGGAAGAGTTGGGCATCAACGTAGCAGGAGGAGAAGCAAACGACGACCCCAACCGGCGCCCACTGAAACATCTTCTAGGCACCAACCCAGAAAAGGTGCTTTAAGCCTCTCTGGGTGAGTATGTACCCTCTTTGCAGAGACTCCAATCCACCCTAAAGATGAAGGCGTTCCCTGTGCGGCGGGAGTCCTGGGTAGCTGCAGTCTGGTCCCAGATGGACCGTACTGCTCTCACAGTTTGACTCAGTTACCGTGACGACAGGCACACTCCCACAAACAGTCAGACTCTCATACAGACACACCCCAATCAGTCCCACTCAGACCCAAATCCTGCTAATACTTAGCTAGCATATGTCACAGGTGTGTCCCACCTCACACCAGCTCACACACAGGGCTGGCACAGCCACGCACAGCTACACACAGCCACGCACAGCTACACACAGCCACGCACAGCTACACACAGCCACGCACAGCTACACACGGCCACGCACAGCTACACACAGTCATGCACAGCCATGCACAGCTACACATAGCCACGCACAGCTACACCACACACAGCCATGCACATCTTCCTGAAATACTTTTACATGCATTCCACAGCCTCACTGACTCCGAATATAGTATCCAAAATAAATGTGGAAATAGCATTAAAAGTTACTGCCTGAATATATGGTCATTCCAAGCTGAAGGCATTCATTTTGGGGATGGATGTATGGACCCTGACATCCACCCCATACAGTATATTACCATATCCATTCCTCCAATATCACCGCCATCCAATGCTTTAAAACCACCCTCCGCATCCACATCCTCACCAGCCCATCTGCTCCCTGTTACGCATGCCATCACTCCTCAGTCTCCCCCCACTCCCTCTCCAAGTGTAACCTTTGCTTCATCTTCTCCTCCCTTTCCTTACACACATTCCTTCTCTTCCTGTGAGCACCCCCCCCCCCCTCACCAGCATATGGACGAAACATTTTTATCTTCCCAATTGGTTAAGATAAAAAGGAGAATGTGTGATGAAATGCTTGTTTTTTTTCTGGGGGGGGGGTTACTTAGTTCAATTTCTTTCTTCAGTTTTTCTTACCTGTCTTTGTCGATTGATTAGTTGCACTCATCAAAGTTGTAGATTTACGATCTGGCAAGATGACACTGGTGGTGGTCTGCATCACTAATTTAGCTGCCATAGGTTTGTGAAAAACAGATACACTTTTTCAAAATTTACCTAAAATGAACTAATGTAGTAATAAAATGAAAATCATTTTAAAAAATACACTTTTCTCACCTTTTTCTAAGCCGACTTTGCTCACGATGAGTGGTTTTCGAGTCTCTCTTGAAATTGATGTGGTGGTCTGAGGGTCAGCTGACCCTGTCCAAGACTTGGCCAGCGATTCAATGGTGGGCCTCAGCTGTGGAACCTGGATGACTGTGGAACTTGTGGGCACCTTAGTCACAGAGGTAAATCCAGCAGTAGCCTGGGCTTCTGGCTGAACGTTCGCCAGCGTGTCACTCTTGACTGAATGGGATGCAGAGGACGTCTCCTCCCTGCCCATGGCTGAGGGCAGGTCACCTGACCCAGCAATCAGCCAATCATCACCTCCAGCTATATACTCTGGTTCCCCCAGTCCCTTCCCAGTTCTCATTTGTTCTTCCCCTACCACAGCAGCAACTGGGAGTTTGGGGTGGTAGCTTTGGTCTGGACTATGGAAGGGATTTAACGTGAGGACTCGTACCATTGCAGAGGTGTCCTGCTTGTGTCTTGGGGTTTTTGTGGCTCTAGGTGATGCACTGCTAGCAGAACTCGTCCGAACCTGGATTGTACCACTGTCGGAGCTTTTAGGGGTCAACACAGGAGAAGCTGGCGTGCTGAGTGCGACACTCCATCTGTGCCTGCTATCCAAGTGGCTGCTGGGTAATGGACCCTCCACCAGAGTGTCCTTGTGTGCTGCCACTGTAACACCAGTCACCTCTTGAATCTGCTTCTGTTTGAAGGCTGGCGGGCCATCCAGGTTATCCCCGTCAGGTCCGGCCACATACACCAGCCTCCTCTCAGGACGTCTTTTCCCAGACCCCGGGTCCTCCTCCGTGCTCCTGCTTTCCTCCTGTACGCCCGGCTCTTCATCAGCACCCTGCTGGAGGACACCGGCCCCAGATGACCTTCCAGCTGGCTCCTCGGAGGGTGGAGACGCCGGTGCGAGCTGGGATGGCTGGAGGGATGATGGGAGTGACCCCGGTGGCGGACTGAAGCCCGAGTCACGAGACGATGTGACCGTCACATGGCACAGAGTGCTGCGGACCATGGCGAGCAGCAGGAACAGAGCCAGGGGTGGTGCCATCGCTGGGCGGGTGGTGCTACCAAGGGCAGGCTTTCACTCGGCCTCCTCCTGAATCCCCCACAGCATCCTCACCCACTGCCCTGTAACAACAAAACAGACAAGGCATCCATATTACAGCCACATGTCCAGCACAAGGTCGCTGGAGGCCTGGACCCTAATCCAGGCAGCATAGGGCACAAGGCAGGGGTGCACCCAGGATGGGATGCCAGTCCATCACAGGGCACACGCACGCAAATCTTAGAGACACCAAGACTTTATATAACGGGCTTTATATCTCAGCCTGATCAGTTTAATGCTATTGTCATGTGAAATACCTGCTAAACATACACATAAGAATAAATATTCTTAGAAATGATATGGAATCAATGCATTAAAGGCGATGCCAGGTTAGTTTGTTGTATTCAGTATGCAAATAAACATGACTTCTACATTTCTGTCAAAAAAAATACCTCTTAAAATATACAACAATCAAACAATAAACCGGCAAACTCAATAACTCAAGTAATGCTGTTTTGCAAACCTCCTGTTGAGACCTCAGAGGGCCACAGACAGCTCTAGCGAAGCACGTGAAGATAAGAAGGACAGTCGGCGGAGGTAACCACGGGAGACGGCCGTCGTAGTAACCGGTGGGAGACCGAGGGGCCAAAATGGACGGCTTGCTGGGCAGAGTCTGCAATGTGGCGGGCTGGCTGCACAGAGGGCGAGTCTGTACACACTCCCAGAGGGCCGTGCTGCAGAGCGGTGGCATGGGGCGGGGGGGGGCGGGTGCTCGGTCACACATCTATGCGCATGTAGAAACGCAAGCACACACAGAGCCTTATTCACTCTAAGCGACTGTGTGTCTGCACACTGTTGACACGTCCTCACAGAGCCATGGTGAGGCTGCAGCCATGGACTTACTGGGGAGGGCAAGTGGCGCGTTCAGATACCCCTGCCTCACGTAAATATCTACACAGCCATGTACATTACAGGAGAGCAAATACATCATAAAAAAAACCCTGCCTGCATACAATGCAAATATAACAACACAGATATGCACAAGCAACCTCTGCAGAGAGAAGATATACACAGGCAAGGCGGGGGAAAAAAAAACAGAAAAAGCAGGGAGACATTGAGAGTTTGACAGGAGGGGAAAAAGAAAATAAAAGGGATGAGAAGAATATGAGAATTAGACAGGTATGAGATTTGAATCCTGCCTCAAACTATACCTTCAGGTACAAACATGTGCCCTAAGCAGAACACCTCCTGCTCTTTTCTTCTCAAGACCAAAGCAATCGAGCCTATAGTGGCTGAGGCATCTCTGCTTGAATATTCGCTGACTCATTTAGAAATATGCTCACATTTACAGTCACATTTATTGGTCCTGCTGGTGCTTTTGGCACGAGTCAGTGTGAACATTTGAGAGCATTAGACCACAAAGACGAGACTCTGGATACCACCATGCAATCAGTGAGTGCAGTAAGTCTGCAGCTTTGCTTTATACCAGAATTCCCTTAAACTGGCACAGAGGGTCTAACAACACGCAACAGCACTGAATTTCCCCCAGAATAAAGAAGTATATCTTATTCTTAGTGGCCAAATATAGGCATATGTATGCAAAATGAAACATCAAGACCAGTAAAATTAAAATGAAACAGAGTCCAATCTGATCTTTATCTGAATGTATCAAAGTTCAGCATGGATTTTGTTATGACAGAGCACACAATGAATAGGTCAGCGATAGAACAAGGTGTAAATGTAAAGTACGCATCTACAACTCTGCTTCGTTTGATAGAGGACTCAACGTGGCGAGACAAGTACACGTGCGCAGAGAGTCACAGCCATGACGGAGAAAGACTCTTTGCTCTTGTTCAGGGGTCAGCTGATGTTATCCAAGCTGCCAAACCATCACTTCTGCATTAATTCCCTCATTACTTGGTCTTGCTGCTGGGTGTCCTATTTCATAATGACCTGCATGTTAAACTCAGTCATTTCTGGGAATGATTTGGCGGCCCTTAAAGATTAAGCGATTAGAGAGCGTGTAATGGCGAGGGGGACATGAGGCATGGCACAGGGAGCAGGCTGACACATGCCTGTGCCATGCGTGTGCTTATCAGCAGGAGGCTCAGGTTCACTTTATGGAGTGATACCCCTATGAACAACCCTGGGAAAAACAGTCGAGGGACACTCCCTCATGAACCTGTTTCAAAACCCACTCAATGAAGCAAACACCGTAAATCAAGATACCATATAAACTCCAGTTCCAGGATTTCTCAGTCGAGTCGAGTGTTTCCGCATGTGTGTGTGGGAACGTGATCTGGACGGTGTCTTTACGTGCACAGCTACTGAGAGTTTCCATTTTGTAATTACGTAGACATATTTATGCATGTGCATAGGTGTGTGAGAGACAGAGAGAGAGAGAGAGAGAAGAGAAGGAGAGCAATCTGATGGGTGATTATGCCCCGTAAGCACTTGAGTATGCAGTTGACAGGGGATATTTTTATCCCAGATCTACCCTGCGGGGGCCCAGGAAAATCTCAGCTAGCAAGGATGGGTTTCGCCACTGTTACTCTCCTCACAATCATGCCTTTATTCTCGAGCCAGGAAGAGAGCCAGCCCGTGTTTCCAGTTACCGCACTGCATTTCACTGTCTAAGCTTATAGCCCCACGGCACGACGCATGCGGACCAGCATGTTACACACAAACCTCCATCACATCGCAGGAAGTGCATTAACCTGCAGAAGTAATATAGAAACTCAGCAGAGTGAAAAAAACCATATGACTACAAGGGAAAATCTAACAGCTGAACATGGCAGCATGCGGGAAACAGTCTGGACGGAGCCTTAATGAACACCCAGGTCTGGGGAATGGGTTGTAGATTGCCAAAGAAGGGGGCCTTCCTCAACCCCTCTCAATGGGAGCTGGTCAAAAGCCACAATTGCTCTGGGCATAATTAGAGGCCGGCACATGAAATACACAAACACGGTCATTCAAACACACCCCCATGTAACAGCTTCCCAAAAACTGTTCCAATATTTGTGTTAAGTTCAATGTTTCCAAATGTTGACCAACGTCTGTAATTTTCCTAGCCAGCAAGAGATGCGGGTATACTACTGCACACTACACTAAATTTGAGATTAGTGTAAATGTAGTGTAGATTGGCCCTATTTCATTTTCTATGCAATATACACAAAAACTTGTCAAGCTATACAAGACAGTGAGCTCTGCTGTGTCCTTCCTTACACTTGGGGCCTGAGCAGGTGTGTTAGCACATGCTGGAGGATACAACTGCACACCTGGATATCAGGAAACACAAAACTTTGTTCTAAATGCCTGATGATAGCAGGCGCCAATCCTGGCCACATGGATGCGGCAGGACCCTGAGATAATTGGGATTAAACTGCCACAACACAGAGGAGTCCTTGTGAGACCTTTGTGATGAAGGGCAAGCAACGTGGCTCAAATGTGACCAAAACAGGAAGTGGAGGAGGAAATGGTGTTTATGACATTATATCTCCATGATGAATGAAAGAATGTGCTGCTCAATGAGCCACGTTATTTAGTTCTGATGTAATGAACAGAACAAGAGCAGCGGAAGTAGGTCTTTGGCACTATGAAATGACCCTGTCCTCATTTCCACAGTTATCCTGCTTTAGTCATTATATTTATCATTTAATCATTTACTTTTAATCTATTTTTATTGCTTGATGACAGATGGAGCACTTATGGGGTAAGAAATCTTGAATTAGTTCTTGAAACACAAAAATCTGAAGGTCATGCAGAGGGAAAAACAGTTTGAGAGTAAGGAGGCTTGAGGGAGAATATTAGAAAAGCAGACACGAAAAGCTGGACAGAGGAAAGGCACAGAAAAGACAAGACGGGAACAAAAGGTCCCAAGGTGTCAAGCAGGAGGAGCAGAGTGCGGGAGCCAGAGCTGGCTGTTTTGACTGAGGATCCATGGGTAAGAATGTAAACATGCTGAGCTGTTGACTCACTATCAATTCACACACGTATAGGCAGGCAATGAGATACTGCAACTGAGAAGAAATACAGTAACTAAACAAATCAAGCTGGTCTGACACTCTCATGGGACACATATATATAATAAACTTGTCAGTCTACATTCAGGAGGGAAGTCTAGATGAGCTCAGGCATTTTAGAAAGACTGGAGGTGAACTGCTGAGGCTATAGTCCCCATCTTGCTCCACAGGCAGGAATTCCACAGGCTTTCATTCCACATGCTGTTTTTTCCATTCACATTGCCATGAAAACACCCTGGAGACTTAAGAGGTGTTTGGAGGCGCTAATGCTCCACGGTCGGAGGCGAGCCGGCCGCGACTGGCCCCCCAGCACAGAAGCCCCGGCAAGGCAGAGCGGCGCTCTGTGATGCATAAAAAACGCCCCCCGCCTCACAGACCAGCTAATGGACCGCCGCAAGCCGTCGGACGATTCGGCTCCGAACGGCTTATTAGCTTAACGTTTGCCGAACGAATTGCGTCGAACATTACTTCGAAACCGTTTTTTTTAATGCTTATTTATGCACATTTGACCGAATATAGCGGACGTAAACAGCTGCCATTCTGCTACAGACATGGATGTTACCTTGCTCAGCTTATCTAAAACCCATTCTTTTGCATGTTCATATACAGGCTACATTTTTAAAACAATGTAGAATTCGAATGTTTGGTTTAATAATTAGGCCCAGTTAGACTTAATGAAAGTCGTATATTATAGGCTATACGAAATTAAAGTTTTTATTATGATCTCGCATAGCACGTCTCAGCAAGTAAAACCCCATTGTAGTCTACGTGATAAAGAATTTCTTAAAATATTCCGCATTTGTGGTATTCTGCGGTCTCTGTATTAACTGTACAAGAACCATAAGGTTACAGAAAATATTCAGCCCCTTACCTTGAAAGTTTTTCTTGATCCTTTATTCCACAACACAGACGTATCTGCCTTGAGCTCACCATTAAACCACTGGAAATGTTTACCGAAGTGTTTGTAAGATCTCGCAATTTCTTACTGGTTCATTGATGGAGGGAATTTAATTTTTCAGTCATAATCATGATTGCAGCGGGATTGTGGTGATTCTTAGAGCGCTGAAATCGCCCACATCTTCATACTGCTGCCGCTGAGCCTTGGAGATGATGAAAAACAGGTGGATCCAGATCCTCTACAAGACTTTGTTGAGCAACGCACATGTGCCAGCGCTCGAGACTAAACCCCACCAGTTTCACTAAAGATCTCGCCTCACACACACCCACCTACCAACACACTCCTCCGTGTTTATCCCGGGTATCTCCCTCCTATAATACAGTCCCGCAGCCAGTGCGCTGGCCCAGAAACCAATGTCATTAAGTCCAGAGTACAAAAATACACCCGAGCTGTTCACCTTAGATTAGCCTTTCCGCGATCCTCTTTGTTGTACGGGTATGGCTTAGTTTTATTTTGAAAACAGGTCTCCTTAGCGAAATAAAAGAGGCTGTAAGTGATATCCCTCATGGGCATGACGGAATATTGCCTTCTATGCAGAAAAATAACCGACAGTATCCTGGCATTTTTCAGTTCTTCTAGGTAATAGAAAAAAAGGAAACCACAATTATCAAATTGTCATTCTATCTTCTTGGTATCTAATTGCAATCCGCTCCATTTCTTTGTATGTGTGAAGGCACGGAGGTTTTGCTTTCGATGCCCGCAAAACCAATCTCTGTAAAGAAAAAGAAACAGTTATATTAACATATGTCAAATACATCATTTGTATATATAAACATAATCCTCAACCACGGTTACATTAGATATCTTAGAGCAAACTTGCCTATCCAGATTAACGCCTTTGAGCTCACAGGTATAACCTTCACATGAAATCGCGCTGCAATTATCCATCCGGGTTAGAAATCTTTCATACGATATTATATTAGGTGCCTGCGTCCGGCGACGTTTCTTGCGCGGTGTTATTTTCTCCTTATAGATACAAGATTGCCCGTCGGCTAGGTGAGTCCCTGCCGTCACGTCGCGACTGTCTGCTGGGCTCCGCACTACGATCGGCGGGGTTACTTCAGCCCCAAAGCGACTCCCTTCCCTCTCCTTTTGCTTGTCACTCCCTCTCTCTCACACACACAGTATTAAGGTTACCGCTAACTGTGCGGCTTAACTGATGCGCCTTTACATCGACAGGGAGCCGCAATGCCACGTTACGTAACAGGCGGCCCCGAAAAGACGATAGGAAGCGGATCAGTCCAGCTACACCGTGATGAAATACTCGTATATATTTTTTGTGCCTACTAATTATTGTTAACACTGCACTTTGCGACCTTGGTTCAGGCAGTATCCCGTGTTCTTAGGTTCCTATCTCTTGAATCATAGACGAATTAGAAATGAATGGAGTCCCTCACCCCCCCTCCCTTTTCATGTGCTGGCATGATGTCACCTAGCTGAAAAAAACTGAATTCTACATTGTAGGCTTGAATAGCAACTGAAGAATGGCCAGGGCACTTCTGGGTGAAATTGTACACTGGTGCTCCCGGAAATATTGGACCAGCTGGTAATACGCCAAGTCCCGTTCATCTTTCCCTCCCGCCTCCCTGCTCAGCAGCGTCCTCTCGGCGCACAAGCCCTCCCACATTCAGCGCTTGATAGGTGTGTCCAGGTGAATCGCTCTCAGACGTCCTTTTCACTTAAAGAAACAGCGCTCTCTTTCGCACACATTTCATCACCGCATCCCGGCGCACTTGAGAAAGGGATAATATCAATGCTGTGGTGAGACTTCGAACATCATCACTGTCTCTCTGCCAAAACAGAGTCATTACACACTATTTTATAGACTTAGACTTGACTTTATTGATCCCCCTGAGGAGGAGACTCGTTTGATCTAGTAGCTGATATACAGATATAAAGAGGATAAAAACAGAGGTATAAAATGTATGACATAATCTAAGTGCTCAAAAAAAGTCATGTACAATTACAATATTGAGCAATGATATTTGTAATTAAAAAGAAAAGGCAGTGCTATATGACAGTGTAAATCTTACACTGCTCAATACTGACGTTGGGCATTATAAATATTATGTAGATGTAGCACATTGGGCATATTCATATGTACATGTAGCAGGAGTGCATCATGGGTGTGTTGTTTACCCAGACAGCCCAAAGAGGCTGTGTCAGTAAAATACAGCAGTACACACCTAAGGCCAACAGTTTCTGGGCAAGGTCCATTTCAGCACAGAAACAGACACCTCCACATACACTTCTGTGTCAGGTCCATAGCAACAGAGACATTTCTACAAATAAGTCTCTACCTGGATTGCTGGTGATTTTAGATCTTATATTGTCCCAGAGGGTTTCCTTCTCACACCAAACATGCATTTTGCCATGAAAATAGACACCAGCAGAAGCCATGTTTGAATGTGTGGCTTATGGGCGTTCTATGGACTGGAGGACTGGGAAGATACAGCAGCTCCATTGTGCTTACATGGCTATAGGGGATGGAAAGGGCAGGGCCGTTCCTTAAAAGGCTGCAGGCTGGCATCTTCCTCCCTTGTCGGCCCTCTTGCTGGCCTGCTCATGTTCATCCAGCTGGCTGGAATCATACTGTAAATCCTGTATTCTGGAGAGTGTCCATTGTACTGGCTAGAGACTGCACACTTTATCAGGGCCCGGTGCCTTATACTTGTCAGAGAATAAAGACAAATGTGTTACTATATGCCAGTGTTTCCCAGCTCAGTCCTCGGGGAACTCTGGACTGTCGACATCTTTGCTCCCTCCCAGCTTCCAGCCAATCAGCAGCACTGAATACCTGGTACAGGTGCACTGGAAGCTGAGAGGAAGTACAAATGTGGACTGTCCCATATCCCCTGAGGACTGGGTTGGGAAACACTGCTATATGCTATGACAGGTTTGTCCAGACTTGCGTTCATAAAAAGAACTTTTGTAAAAGTATCCCTAAGCAAGCAGAATGGAATGAAAAGTTAAGACAAACAAAGAGATGAATATACCTGTCCAGACAGAGGGTGAAAACAGATGAGGTAAATAACAATCGCAAAATAATTTATCAGCACAAAACAAATTGAAAATGCAGGAAAGTAATGGTTCCCAAGACAGGTCAGTGTCATTAGAACTTTTGAAGATTCTGAAAGCACTGAAGGAAACGCTATTACAACAAAGCATAACTACAACACTCCTTTTTTTTTCTCAAATCCAAAGACAAACAGTTCAGGAGAATTAGACTATAAATTGCTCATAAGATATAATTGACCAGCAATGGCAATGTAACCCACAGCTCCAGCTGCAGGTGGCTGCCCTTCCATGCCAAACTTGCTCTCAGCAACATTCACTATATGGACAGAAGTATTGGGACACGCCTCTTAATCACTGAATTCAGGTGCTTCTTTCAGACCCATAGCCACATGTGAATAGAATCAAGCACTATGCAGTCAGGTTTACAAATACAGTGGTACCTCAGTTCTCGAACTCATTAGAACTCGAATTTCTTAAAAGTCGTACCAACCAGTTCGGAAAAAAAATACCTAGCGCTCGATCTGAATCTCAGAAGTCAAACTGTGAACGCCGACCTAAGATAACTTGTACGCGCGGGGAAATGAGTCACGCGGCACGTCTCTCAGCGGAAACAAAGGGTAACGCTTCAGTCTCAGCCTCGCATTCGCTGTGATAGCATAGTGCATATTTACACTAGCTGAATACATATATTTAGACAGTAAAAATACATTTAGACAATGATAGACAGTAATAGTAATATAATAAAATACATTTTAAAATAAAGATTTCTTATTCATTATTTTAATACTAATGATAAACCATTAACACGTTTAATTATAATAATATTGTTGTGCCGAGTGGGAACGGAATGGAGACAAAGGCGCAGACGTCAGGGTATCGGGGAATACGGGGTTTAATTACAGGTAAGGCAGGCAAAACGCAGACGGACAATACAATGACCGGACTGGGGAAACAAACTGAAACGCGGACGAAATACAGAGGGTTGAGGTACCACTGTATTTGTGAAAGAATGGCTCGTTCTTGTAGAGCTCAGTGAATTCAAGCATGGTACTGTCATAGGATGCCACCATTACAATAAGTCAGTTTGTGAAATTTCTTCCCTGCTAAATATTCCATGTTCAACTGTAAGTGGTATTATTGCAAAATGGAAGCATTTAGGAACAACAAAGACTCAGCGATGAAGTGGCTGCCCACGGAAAGTAACTGAGCAAGGTTGCAAAGTGCTGAGATGCATAGTGTAGAAAAGTTGCCAAAACTCTGTTGACTCAATAACTGCAGAGTTCCAAACTTCCTCTGCCATTAACCCCAGCATGAAAACTGTGTGCCGGGAGCTTCAGAGAATGGGCTTCCATGGCCGAGCAGCTGATGGATGAGTCTGGGTTTGGCAGATTCCAGAAGAACGTTACCTGCCTGACTGCATTGTGCCAGCTGTAAAGTTTGGTGGAGGAGGGATAATGGTATGGGGTTGTTTTTCAGGGGTTGGGTTAGGCCCCTTAGTTCCAGTGAAGGGAACGCTTAATGCTTCAGCATACCAAGACATTTTGGATAAATCTATGCTTCTAACTTTGTGGGAACAGTTTGGGGAAGGACCTTTTCATTTCCAGCGTGACTGTGCCCCAGTGTACAGAACAAGGTCCATAAAGACATGGTTGGGTGAGTCTGGTGTGAAAGAACTTGACTGGCCAGCACAGAGCCCTGACCTCAACCCCATCAAACACCTTCTGGATGAACTAAAACAGAGGTTATGAGCCAGGGCTTCGTGTCCAACAACAGTGCCTGACCCCACAAATGCTCTTCAAGATAAATGGGCAAAATCAGAATCGCTTTATTTCACTTATCACTTTTATTTAGAAAAAGAAGAATATGACCAATAAGAATTTCATGTATAAATCAAGTATGTGAACATGAACTTGCAAAGAAGACATAGATAAAATCTGTTATTTCCCATACAAAATTCCCACAGACACACTGCAAAATCTTGTGGAAAGCCTTCCCAGAGGACTGGCAGCTGTTATAGCTGCAAAGGGGGGACCAACTCCTGTTCTAAACCTGTGGGTTTAGAATGGGATGTCATAAAGGTTGCTGTGGGTGCAATGGCCAGGTGTCCCGATACCTTTGTCCATACAGTGTATGTGTCTGTGTGTCATGGAGAGCAAGATGAGGCAGATGAAAAGAGAATTTCCCCACAGGGATCAATAAGTGTCATTAAATAGTTTGTAATGACAACTTAACAAGCCAATGGAAAATTGGATAAATTATGTACAGCACTGCAGTAAAATTAATAACTAAAAACATTTTAAAATGAATTTTAGATACTTGGAGTAAGGCAGAACTCAGAGTACAGAATGCTACTGGAAATAAACAGCATTGATATGGCACTCAGTGGAGGTTTAGAGACTTACCCTTAAATATGATATTCCCTCATCTGTGTGCACAGTTTGCTTCCTGTACTGCACAGCATTCTCCCTGCAGTCCAAAACCATGGATTTATGTAAATATCTAAATTCCACATTATATGTGAATATGCCCCCACCCCATAACGGACTAGCGACCTGTCTGTAATGTTCCCCCATGAACCACCCCTTCCTTCGGTAGAAGGAAGGATTCAACCTGTATCCATTTCCTCCAAAGACATAAAGGTGAAAGCCAATCACAGGAAGTGCAGAACATGTCATATTGGGAGGTAAGATCTTCAGACCTCCACTCCACCCAGAACATGAAGTTTATCTTGTTTCACCAGATTATTGTAACCTGGCTACCTTGCAGGGGGCCATCGGGCCACAGTCAGGCTGCCTGCATTTCGGCAGACGGTAAGCAACTGGCAACTTCCATCTGTCATTGGGTATTAATGCATTTAGGTAGGTAGGTTAAGAGTAAGACTGCTAGTCTAGGGGAGGCTTGCATCACTGTCTTTAAAACCAGCAGTGGGTGAACTGAATCTCTCCAGTTACACACTCAGCTTTAGAAGCATGTAACGTAAAAAAAAGTTCATTTGAAGGAAAATTCCAATCAAGCAAGTTGTTTGCATTTCACACTTCATCCAGCTGAAGCAAAACACACAGACATACTACTGTCTATTAAAACACACAGATATAGACTTCAGAATGACAGGAAGCTATGCCCTTTATACAATAGATGGGATGATGCAGAGTTTATTCTTCGGTCACCGTGACCAAAAACGTACCTGGTAACAGAGGATGAATGATGAGAAGATGAGGGACAGAGGAAGGAGAGACGCATGGACTTTGTGACCTACCCCCCACCCCTTAGCATCTCTCCTCTCAGTCAGACACAATGTGACCTTGTTTGGGAAAATTAGATGCAATAACAAGCTCAACACTCGGTCACAACCCGGACTCGTGCACCCTCCCCACCCCACCCCCTAAAACATAACATCTGGCATTAACAAGCCTGTTTTGTTGCTTTGTTTATCCTAAGGAGGGCAGAATGGAGAGATCTCACACGGCCACCTCTCACAGCCCATTCACTATACTGTACTATACTGAGGGAATTACACAAAACTGTTTATACTTCAAATGAAAAGATATGGGGAATCTCTGTGTAAAGTAATGTGCTACTTCCACTGACCTCCACATCACTTTAGGTGACTGTGTGGTAATGTTTGTACAAATCTGGCTCCAGCGTCAACCCCCCCCCCCCCACACACACACACACACACACACACACATGTAGGGTAAACATATCCTTATGGGGACCGCTCATTCATTTCAATGGGAAAAATGCTAACGCTAACTATGACAACCTTAACCCCTACCCTGCCCTAACCATAACCATAAGTAACCTAACAAAATACAAGAATTTTTGCATTTTTAGTTTTTTCATAGCAGTCACCGATTTTTATAAAATAGAGTTTTCCCTTATGGGGACCAGGAAACCGGTCTCCATAAGGGAAAAAAAACGGATATTTATCACGTTATGGGGACATTATGTCCCCATAAGGATAGGTAAACCCGCTCACACACACACACACAAACACACCGAGAAGTTTTGCCTCACAAAAATAACTTCAGCCACAGCCGGCATCAGAAGTGACTTCTGCAGGATCTGGTACATGAGTACATGCACGGGCACAGAGACATTCAATATGCATATACAAAGACTCTTTATGTTCTAGACAGATCTTTATGATTTAGACACACGGTCATTGTAGAAATAGACAATCAAACTTCTCTGCTCTGTCATCCTCCCTGTACCCTGCACAAATCTGCCCATTAGTGCTGCCACAATGCAACATATCACACAATGTGCAGAGACCCAGTTTTAGGGGGAAAATGGCATGAACAGCCCATTGGAAAATATACTGGAAAAAAGACACACACACACACACACTCTTCAATGTGTCCAAATGACATATTTAATATCCTGTGATGAACATACTTTGTCTGTATGATGGTACTTCAGACCATCAAAGATAATATTTTTTAAGATGTCTCAATCCACCTCACAAACATATTTAGGTCAGGTGTACCATCACATAGATACAGACAGACAAAGGAGAGCAGTCAGCTATTTCAGCATCAGACAAAGATGGATTGGCTGCCGGTGAAGGTTTTACGTGAAGGAGTAATATTCAGAGTAATGGATACTTGCATAACACTCATGCAGTTCATGATTGCGTTTCTCAAAGTGCCACCTAGTGGCCAGATGATGGTATTTTATAATTTCCCTAGTAATGTAATTTTAATTAATTTTGAGTGAGCATATACATTTAACTGTAAAATCACATATTGGATATTCTTTGTTCAAAAGAGCCTTTTGTTAGAGTAAGAAATATTTCATACAGGATTCTCAAACCAAGGCCAGTTAGGCAAAGAAAATACATACAGTTTTTACAGTTGGAATCAGTTTAATTCAAGAGAATTAGATACGTACATACATTTGTTTTTGTTTTGTTTTTTACCAAACTTCAGTATCTAAAACTTTTGTATAAAAATTGCAAAAAAGAATTACATATAAAAAGGTACATATAAAAACATTACATGTCACATACACATTACATATAAAAAGTACTTAACAAGAGTTCAGCGTTTCAAGGTTAGACTCTTTCTCCTTTTTCACCAAAACGTCACGTTTTGCACACTTTAGCTCTCGCTTTTCCATGTTTCTTTTCAGCCTTCATCTTTCCTATGCTCTCTTTCTCATCCCCCTCTCCCTCCATCTTTATTGGAGGCTCTTTTAGCTTCTGGAACTTCTTCAGATCGGCACAGAACAGCACCTGAGAGGAGAGAGTCCTCTATAACAACTGTTTAACTCCGCCCCCTGGCTCTCCGCTCCATAAATCTCAAAGCGTTACTCACAGAGTGTGCCCATCCAGCATAAGGACCCCACAGCTTTCTAAAAAAGTCTCCTACATAGAAATAAAACAATAGTATTAAATGTCTGTATCAGAAAAATGGGGCTGTTACACATGTAACCTCATAGAAGCCTGATTTAGGTTCATCTTTGGATTCATTACTCATTGACGGATGGAGACGTAGTGCCCTCACCGATTTCTTGGTAGACCTTGTCTGTCAGAGTCTTGCGGCCCGTTGCCATGGTGCAGCGGTAGTCCCTCTGTGCAATTTGCCACATGTGCGTGTCCACAGGCAACGCACAAGACTTATCCAGCGACATCAGGCACACACAGTCTGCCACCTGCACAGCAAAATTTTGTTTGGAGCAGGAGTCAGAACCATATATGGAATTTCAGTGACTTCTAAGCAATGGGAAGTGGATCATGTCCATATGAGGTGATGAGACACAAAACCTAACGAACAGGCGGGATACAGGAGATGAGCGGAATGGGACAGAGACTCTGACACACTGTAAGGCTTTAAGCAGCAGCGCGGTACCTTGAAGCCCACCCCAGGAAGGGTGCGGAGTGCACTGCGGGCCTCTTCATAGGGCACACTGCGCAGGCCACCCAGCCAGTCGGCGCCGTGCTGGTCCAGAATTTGCCTGGCGCTCTGCTGCAGAAAGCGAGCGCGGTAACCGAAACCCAGGTCTCTGAGACTTGCCTCCACGCTGCCATCTGTTGTTCGCAGGGTGGGAGATCGTTAGCATGCATGCGTGATCATGGGAAGTTCACACAATGACTTATGACCACACTGTTATTCTGGGCTGAAAATAAAGGCTACAAAACACATGCATTTACTCACATTGCATTGAACACTGCAAGCTATATAAAGGGGCAAGTATACAACATTCATCCAGCTTCCAAACTGCTTATCTAATACAGGGTTACAGTGAACCTGAAGCAGTGTCCCATGATGTATAGAGCACAAGGCAGGGACCACTGGACTGAATCCCAGTCTATCACAGTGCACATTAATACATTCTAAACCTAACCACATGATTTATGACTGTGGCAGTAAACTGGACAGTGCACTGGAAGCATGCAAACTCCAGAAACACACAGCAGGGGGAGCCTTTGAGCTCCTAACCCTGAAGGTGAGCCGGCAATGTTGCTCTAGTACATGTCTATTAAAGTTACTGAAAATGAATCTATCGACTGTCCTATTAAATAATGAGAGAATACATGGATGAAAGGACAAACATCTGAGGAAATCAGGAGGTACCTGCCAGAGCGTGCACAGTGGGAAAATCATGGTAGGGGGTGCCATCCAGCCGGCACAGGGGAGCTCCCAGTTTGGCACAGAGCCGCTCTATCATGCCCTCAATGCGGGAGATGTGGTTGTTGGAGGTGCAGATGAAGGAGAAGAGGCATTCGGTGGGATCCTGACGCAGCATCCTCACACCTGCAGGATACGACGCAACCGAATGTCTGAGCTCCATCGTTATGCGCAAATAGAAAAACATACAAACTGCTAATGAACTTACACTAATGGAGAAAAGTATTGGGACACCTGGCTGTTACACTTACAGGAACTTTTATGACACCCCATTATAAATCCATAGGTATCAATATGGAGTCGGTCCCCTCTTTGCAGCTATAACAGCTGTCACTCTTCTGGGAAGGTTTTCCACAAGATTTTGGACTTTATCTGTGGGACTTTTTGCTAATTAATCCAGAAGAACATTTGTGAAGTCAGGCACTGATGTTGCACATGAAGGCCTGGCTCATGATCTCCATTCTAGTTCATCCCAAAGGTGTTTGATGGGGGTGAGGTCAGGGCTCTGTGCAGGCCAATCAGGTTCTTCCACATCAGACTCACCCAACCATGTTTTTATGGACCTTGCTTTGTGCACTGGGGAACAGAACAGGGCCTTCCCCAAACTTGGAAGCATAGAATTGCATGGAATTGTCCAAATGTGGGTGAAATGGTCAAGTGTCCCAATACTTCTACACATAAACTGTAGCTACATGCAAACCCACTTCATATATCCAGCACAAATGCCAGACTTTCTGGATCATACAAAACTAGGTGTTATTATGAAATGCCACAGAAGACATTATTCTGCAGGTTCCAAGGTGCTCTTACCTGTAAATATGTTGGCGATGTCCTTAAAGTGATGGTCCACAGAGGCCCATTCTTTGTATAGGTCCCCCAGTGGCACCTTTAGCTGGAAGTAATCTCTCAGGGTCTCCTCTTCACCTCCGTCCCACTGAGAGGTCACCTCCCCAAGCTCCAGTGTGCCGCCCTCCGGCTCCTCCTTCACAGCTGCAGCCTCTGTTTTCAGCTTCTTCACGGTCTCGAGCCGCTCACCCTCCCCTGGCCATTTCCTGCCAGCCTGCCTCGCTGTGCTGACCTGGGAGCCGTACGTGTGGTACCAGAGCCTGTCCTCTGTCTGCATCAGTGTCCAGACACGGCCTCCCATCACCCCTGTCCAGTGGCCGTCGGCTGTTTCACGCCACCTGGTGGAGATAGGGGGTACAGACACAGAAAAAATAAAAACCTCATTAATAGCAAAACAACCCTACAGACTCGTTAAGAGGTGTTAGTTAATAGTGATGCAATGAAGAAATCTTCAGTATAGCATTTTAAGTATGATAAATAGCTATCATATTTGTGCCAACTGTTTATTGCTTTAAGGTACTAAGTTCCTAAAATAAGAAGTTTTTCTAGGCTACTTTTAACACATTGACCATGCCAGTCGTATGTCTCAGCAATTATATGACCTGTTTATTTGTTTAAATAGCACAAAAAAGACGAATGATTCAAAAATGTAATAAACATCGGATGCTGATATATGATCTCCAATATCCAGATGTTTGTTTACATGCTACCTTGATTTTTTTCCCCATTATATTTCTATAGCAGTAGGTGTGACGTTACCGGAAAGTCTGTCCACATCCTAGCGTCAAGTCCAGCCACAGCTCTGACCGTGGACAGCAGAATGATCGCCACACGTTGGCTCCAGAGGAGAACACAGCATGTTGGGTCATGGGGAATGTTCTGCAGTCACGTCTCTCAAACTGCTCTAACTCTTACAAACCTGCAATACAGTTGACAAAATAAAATCTATTCATTCAGTTCCACCTTCAAATAAAGTAAGTATACTTTGTTTTATACCACATATTTGCAATCCAAAACAAAAGACTTGCTTCCAAAAGTTGAAAGTATAACAAAAGAAAATCAATTTTTAATTAGTGGTATACATTAGATACTAATATGCGTATATGTCTTAGTATATCTAGTAGTTCAGACTTATGTGTATATATACAATACTATTGCATATATCATTCATTAGTTCATTTTCTACAACGGGTTATTACATGCAGGGGTGCGGGTACCCGGAGTTTATCCCGGAAGCGAAGTTTTTATTAAAACCAAAACACAACATAAAATAAATGTGACTGTAAAAATAGTGAACAAAACCATTCAAACTAGCGCACTAAACGCTTTTTTTCCGACCATCGTCGCAGCCTTATGGGTTGAATAGAAATACATTTTAATTAAACCATTACAGCAAAAGCCAAGAGCAGTAAACTTATAATAGTCTTTTGACAGCTTAGCATGCGTACAACAAAACCAACGCGATCTTCAGTCCTATACACCCCCCGCCCCCAATTTTATATATATATATATATACAGTATTGTCAACAACTCCATAAATAAACGTCTGATAAAAGATATTATATAAGCTAACGTAACTATTGCACGCAATTGCACGAAACACTTCAGTACACAAGAACCGTCTTACCTAACTAGCTGTGTAACACGTGGGGGGATAAGCCCCGCCCCATTCTAGTAGACGGACGCAGACTGGGGAGTAATGTCTTACATGCCGGTTGCGTTTGATTTTCATGCACAGTCCCACTCGAATTATAAACTAATTTGAGTTTTGTATGCCGAATACTATTCGATATCTTAAATCAAGCTAGGCTATTATACGTGAAAATCACCAATGTTATAAAAGACAGTACCTAGGAAATGCTTAGGCAGGAAGTTTGGATGACGCAATCAGTCTAGATCCCGCCTCCCACGGACGGTAACCAATCGGGTACTAAGAAGTTGCTGATTCCGTTCCAGTCAGGAACAAAATTATTCTTAGGTTTAGTTTCCTTTTTCATCGGTATGCGGTGGTGTGACTGGGTTTTAGAAGAAGATGGCAGATATGTTGACTCTTTTCGCCTCCATAGGACTAAGTGATCAGAAAGCCAAGGAAACTTTGAAAAATGAATCACTCAGCGTGGCGCTCAAGCAAGCAATTTCTCGGGTAAGGCATGCAGCAGAGTAAAGTCAAGTGCAAATCGGAAAGAAGAGGCAATACTCATTATACTGCTGACGTTGGTCAGGAGTTGCAAGTTCCCCAGGCGTGCGTTTATAATATCGTATGTTTAACTTAATCGGCTCTTCAGGTTTAAAGCCAACTTTGTCTATTGGTTGCTATACATTTTCCCGTTTAATATCATGTCGCTGGGTTACAGTAAAAGAGAAAATAAATCCGTGTTTGCTCAATAAGTTGATGAACTGAAAATAAGCAGGACGACGTGTGAGGCTTCTTTTTCATAAAGTATTATTTTTTAAAATATGTTGGCTTTTTACTTTTAAAGAATATTTCTAAAGCATATATAGATAACAGATTAATTGTGAAGGGGCCTGTGGAGCCTTTGTATTTTGATAGGAATGCTGATGGGATTGATGTTCCATGTTCCCTGTAGGCTCAAGAGATCCTGGGGCCCGCGGGTGTGGACAAAGCCATGGGTACGCTGCTGTACAGCATGGCCTCTCGTCTGAAGGATGCCCATCACCTTCGTTTCCTCACTGAACAAATCGTCCACCGCAAGATCACTACAGATTTGCAGCTGTCAGGTACACGTACCTGTGTATAAAGTAGTGCAGACACATAAGTAAAGGTACGGGCGTACTGATCTGGCACACAGTGCTCTGCATAAAGAGGCACAACAACATTCCTTGGCAATCGCATGCCTTCCACACTTTGACACTTATACATTGAAGGATAGTTTAATTCTGATGTGAGTGTAGGACAGAAGAATCTTGCGTAAAATCATGAATTGGAGGATTGTTATACTAGACCATGCTCATCACCAGGTATGTTTGCTTCCTGCAGCTGCTCTGGATTTTCTGAAGAATCATTCTCAGGGTGCCGTCGTTCAGGAGGATTTTGACGCCGCGTGTGGTGTTGGAGTTGTCATCACCCCAGAGCAGATCGAGGATGCGGTGAGGAATAACTGCAGAGAAATAGTGTGAATGTCTGGATTTTGTTAAGTAAAGGTGTTTGTATTACTATCCCATGCGCTGCTACATTCTTTCGTTGATAACTTGCCGCTTATGCGAATGGACTACTGACATACACTGCCATTTGCTCTAAGGGTTGCTCACTCTGCTGTGTGTTTTAGGTGGAGGTGGTGATCAATAAACACAAAGATCAGCTTCTCAAAGAGAGATATCGCTTCAACATGGGACTGCTGATGGGTGAGGTCATGCGCACAGCCTGTCTTAAGATGATGCCGGGCAGTCTGCATGTTATATACCGGGGTGCGGTCTGCATGTTATATACCGGGGTGCGGTCTGCA